TTCAGCAAATCATTCCCTTTGCTTCAGTATAATGACTGCAATCCCTTCCATGTACCAACAGTTAACAGTACTTACCTCTATTCACTTTACCTACTGTATTCCTCCCTGTGTCTCCCTCTACCTTCTTTCCTCGGCTCACCTCCCTCTTCTATTGCCTGCTAGTCACCCCTGTTAACATGTGTCCACCCTCTAGCCCTTTAGTAATCCCCATCCCCATAATCATCATAGTTTTTTTTTTTTTTTTAAACAAAACCTTTTAACTTTTTACAACATTGGTCTCATGCAATACATGTGTTCACTAATTTCACTCAGCATAATATCTTCCAGGTTCATGTTGTGCCATGTTTCACAGATTCATCGTTTTGAACATCTTTAAATTGTAGGGTAGTGGCTTCAATCAAGGGTTTTGGAGTCATCAGACCTAAATATAAATCTTGTCATTTGGTGTGATTTAGACAAGTTACTTAACTTCTCAAAGCCAGTCAGTTTCCTCATCTATAAATGCAGCTAATAGTATACTACAAACTTTTAAAAATGGTTTAAAGGTTAATATTGGGGGAAAAAAGCAGGCTTACTGGTCAGAAAGAGACTGAAGGAACCTGAGACTATGCCCCTCAGCTACTCCAGGTCTGGGTTTCTGAGGCTGTAAATCTTTACGGGAGCAGAAAGCCTCATCTTTCTTCCATGGAACAGCTGGTAGTTTTGAACTACTGACCATGAGATTAGCAGCCCGATTCGTAACCACTAAGGTACCAGAGCTCCTCAGTCAAGAGTAGACAAGTATGTATCTATATAGGGGGACAACAGCACGAGTAAAGTCAGCTCAACCATTCAAGAACAAAAGGGCAACATATATCTAATGACAGTTAAAAAGGGATGGGAAGGAGATGGAATGGAAATAGGAACCACAGGGAGGGAATGGAATCGTTTCATGAGGGGATTGCAATCATTAAGATGAGAAAAGTGTATTATCTGTTGAATGTAAAACTGATGATCTTGTCTGTAAACTTTCACTCAACTCACAAGAAAAAGCTTCCCCCCAAGTTAATACTGGAGACCCTACACAACAAATGACTTGCTTAGGAGTGCTGATGTGGCACTGTGGGATAAAGCACTAGACCGCAAGGTCACTTTGAACTGCAAGGCCGGTGGTTCAAACTCATCAGCAGTTCCTTGGAAACCCTATCTATGTAGGGTTGATACGAGTCAGAACCAACTTGACGGCACTTAACAACTATGTCAGAGGACCTCATTTTCTCAACAAATAAATTGCAAAGACAAAGAGAGGCAGACTAATAGTTTAATCATTTAAAAGGCTCAAAATACATTAGCCAAATGAAATGGACCTTGTTTGGGATCCTAATGTGAACATACCAACCATAAAACTTGTGAGCCTATGGGAAAATTGGAGCATTGACTTGACATTTGATACTAAGCAATTAGTAGCTTATGTATTATATTGGACCTATGGTGGTATGAGTATGTGAGTTTTAAGAATCTTTACCTTACTTACAAAAATCTTTACAAATCTATTGATGTCTAGGGTTTGTCTCAAAATAAGGTGGGGGAGGAAAGGTTATGGATAAAACAAAAATGGTCATGTGTAGCTGATAAACTAGAATCTTACCAGGTAATACTAGTGCCATTATCCTTTCCCAGAAAGTTAAGTGTATTAATACAGAACTACACCCAAGGATTAGTCTTGCCCTGCAGGTCACACTGTGACAGACACAATGGCAGCCAAACTTACTTTTAATTGAACCATGAGATTCAACTTTCACCCAGTTTACATCCAACCCATGAAACAGGCTGCTGGTCAAGTGATGAGACATCAGGTTCTAGAAGGGAACAAATTGCATTTCTCATCAAACTTGATTCTATGTTATATCCTCTCCGGCAGAAGACTATCAGTTTAAATGAACCGAACTTTGAGAATACATAAAGGAAGGGTTCAAATTCCTTGTTCTAGCCTTGAGCCCTAAGAGTATGGTTCTTAGCGTAACAGATGAAAGATGAGATCAAGCATATAATATACTTCTCTATCTTGCTGCCTATTTCTAAATATTAGTACAAGTTTATTTAGGTTTGGGGGACAAATAATTACATCTAGTACATGATACTTTTCAAAATTACTAACAATTACTTGTGAGCAAAAGCTGATTTCACAAGTCTCAAGTGGATCAAATGTAGCAGTTTCCTTTCCTATTCGTAAGAGCATTTTATGTGACTGCCTTTAAAATAAAGATAACAGCCTTGATTATGTTGCTCCATTGCTTCTTCAGCTTCTCTGACTTAAGGACATTATCTAGACTTCTTGCTAAAAGAGCAATAGAACAACACAATCAGATTTCCGTGTTCAATCAACAACCATTTATTGTTTCTATGTCCCAGGCACTATATTAGGTGCCAGGAACAATAGGAAGGTACAAATATGAGTAGGAGTGTACTCTGCCCTCCAGGAGCGCACAATCTATTAGGGGTGGTTAAATGAATACAAATAAATGCCTATAATACCAGATAGAAACTGGTTTAAGTGCCAGAGGAGATAAAGTACTACAGGAAACTTTGTTGCTCAACTTCATAGTAAGTCCAGGTCAGAGGAAGCAGATTTGGACTCACTATATTGTCATCTCTGGCATGAAAGGCGGCTGAGGGAGCCTGCTAGACTGTGATTAACTGGGCTGCATCTTAGATCTTGCTTCCTCAGCTCTCAGCTGAGATTCCAATGATTAACAAGAACAAGGGCAAATGACACAACACACAGAGATAAAAACATGCACACAGGAGCACCCCCTGGGAATCTGCACCTACAAGGTGGGACCTTTACAAAAGGGCAGGGGATGTCATCCTTAAAAGAAGTGATTACGGAGAATGAGTACTAGATTACATACACACCAGGCCTCCAGATGCTCCTACCTGTGGGACCTCAAGTAATCTCTTTAGGCCTCAGTTCTTTATCTTAGACCAGATGACCTTCAAGGTCCTCTGCAATGCTCCAAACTCTAAAAAGGATAGAAACTAACATTTCACATCTTAAGCATAGCTTTTAAAGTCAATGCTTGATTCTTCCCTTTTCATTTGTAAAAAGTCTCTAGAAAGAAAATCAAAACAAAACAAAAATCAGTCACCCCCTTTCCTGAATTCAATTCATGTAAGCAATATAAGAAAGAAAGGTTGCCTTGTTTTTAAACAGTTAATGCATCAGAAGTACAGAATTTCTTTGTTATAAGCGAGGCACCTTTCTGAGGAACTTTTGCCTGACAAATGTGCCATCCAACAGTCCAGAGACTCCCTCTATGACAGGAGTTTTGTTTTGGTTGTTAAGAATAATGGCAGGAGAGGATTAAGCATTTTGGTCTAAAGTCCTCCACCACCTTTGGGCTTCTTTAAATAGCAATTTTCTCTCCAATCTAAGGATTTAAGTTCCCCAGAGCCTTTATTGCTTTAAAGGCTTGAGCAAAACATGAAGGAGCACTGGAAGTCAGGGGGGAAAGCCTAGTGAAGGGTCTAATTCTTAAACAAAGGAAGGAAGCCCTGAGGGAAACAAGAAAAAGCAATACAAGCAAAGCAATTCTGTTACAGCTTCTTGGCCTAGCCAAAGCCTTGCAAGAATACAAGATTATCAACACGGGGCAAATTCCAAGAAGCCAGAGAGGCCAAGAGAAGCAAATTTGTCAAACCTACCATTTCACTGTCCATCTGTTTCCAGGGTACCACTTTCATCTTAAAACATGGGTCTATCTTCTACCTAGGAGGTTCAGTTTAGAGACTCTCTTGTTTCTGCCACCGTTACTTAGTCTAGGGCTGAAAAACAGCATTTGATCATGTGGCCACACATCTTGTTTAGCTGTCAAATCTGTCTCACCAGACCAAATGATCCCCTTGGACTCTGCCATACAACAGTCAACATTTTGCTTAAATGCCGATACAGAAGATTGCAACATCAAAGTACAATATAGAACTGAGGATAAAATGCCAGGCTCATGTTACCCTTGGAGACTTGAATAACAGTTGAAGAAGTTAACAACTGCTCTCATCAACAGCAAGAATTTACAAATATAGGCCCAAGGAGCTGAGTTTGGCTGGCTATTGCTATACTGATGAGTTGGCTTATTCTGGCTCTACCAATTCACATAGCGATCAGTGCAGAAGGGTTACAATTAATCTGGCACCAAGCAGAGCACTAATAGGCTCCATTTCATTGACAGTGAATTGAGTCTTCCCTGCATCTAATCTGATGAGCATTTTCTACCAAATCACCCTCCAAACGCATTTAAAAATAAATCTGAGAGATCAAATACCTTATGAAACAATTATAATATAAAAACAAGACCTTCCAAGAGCCAGTGGGATTGTTTGGGTTTGAGGGAGTTGTGGAGGCAGACAGTAGATTATAAATATAATTCTTGATAAAATTTTGCTTCTCTGATTTATTTTTCCTTTCTATAAGCAGGAATTACATTGTACTTAGGCAAATGGCTTATAAGGTTTCACAGATTCTACAAAGAAATCTGTGTGTGTGTGTATATATATATATATATATATGCATGCATGTGTGTGTGTATATATATGTATATATATATACACACACACATGCATGCATATATATACATACATACACTGAAATGTCATTTTTCTGTTAATGTCCTTGTGAAACAACTTTTAGCTCACAATTCCATACATTTTAAAACCACATGAAATATGTGAAGCTGCCACAATACAGGTAAAAAAGGCAATGAACTTTCTGTTTTCCTCTGTCCAGATTAACAGTGCTGTTTTGTACTCTGGCTTTTCAGTAGACCTGAAGAAAAGCTTTGTTCATCTAGTAAATTTTTCCTTCAAGGTGTATCCTTTATTTCTTTGGCATGCAAGGCTGGAATGGCAGTCCTGTTCCTACATACAAATAAACATCTTCAACATACAGATGATGAAAAAATCACCTTCAACGTGCTGGGATTTTGCTAGTTGAGAACCAGAAATCTACAAAAACTCAATTCATATTTTTAAATACTTTATATGGTAAAAATACAGCAAAAATACATTTTTTGTTCAAAGAGGAAAAATATACTGCTATGGTCACGTTCTACAGATGATTTAAGTAGTCTCTGGCTCCTCAACTGTGCACTGTCGTGTAGGCTAACTTCAACCATGGTTTCTTCAGCTTCAGTCATTTATCAAAGCTAAAATCATACTGTGGAGAGAAGAAATTAATGTTACTAATGTTTTCTTAGGAACGTGCCTACTGGGTCTGGGCTGTCCAGATTTGTATCCCTAAGACTCAGCAAGGAACACTAGTTGCATAACAGAAAACCATTTATACCTAAAGGAAAGAATACCTATATTGGGCACCCCCCCCCTCAATATCCTCACTAAAAAACAATACCATATTTTTTCATTAATAACATGCCCATGTACGTAATACACCAACATATATAACATGCCAAAATGATCAAATTAAGTGCAGCAGTCCTGGCATGGTATACCCACGCATATGCCACACATCTCATGACATTTCTACCTCGGCAACCCCATATAGGGTTATTGTGAGTCAGAACTACGTCAATGGCATTTAACCACACAACAATAAATACTGTATTAAAACTGCCACAATTAACAACTTAACAATATCATACTTTCCTTTAAAACACTGATCTGCTTGCTACACTGAGACCAACTGACTAAACTACACAGAAATACCCTTACATTACTAATGATAGAAATGATTTCTTGTTCAAATGTAAACGAGTACAATATGTACTCTGCCTTGCATGGGTTAAGAGTAGTTGTTGTTAAATGCCATCGAGTCGGTTCCAACTCCCTGTGACCCTATAGAGGGTTTCTGAGGCTGTAAATCTATTAGACTGCAAACCACAAGGTCAGCAGTTCAAGCCCTCCAGCCTCTCCTCGGGAGAGGCTTTCTGCTCCTGTAAAGATTTACAGACCCACCATGCTCCCTTAAGAGTAGTGGTTAATTTTTTACAAGATTTTTGATAGTTTATTTTAGGCAAGCACAAATCTAAGTACTTTACACGTATTATATCATTCAGTCCACATGCTGTGATGTAGGTACCATTAATATCCTACTTTCAGATGTGGGAAGTGAGGCTCAGAGAGGTTAAGACAGTTGCCCAGGCTCACCAGTGAGTAAGTGGGAAAGTCCAGATGCCCCTGCTACCGCCTAACCAAAAAAGCCAAAGACACACATTCTACCACTCTCTAAAGAAGATGAACATGTTTTCCCTTTTAATTCTATTTAACAAATGCTCAATGTCTGCTATGTGCAGGCATCATACAAGGTGTAGCAGGTGAAGCAGACAGGAGCCCGTTAAGTCTCTGTACTAAGAAGCTGGTGATCTGGTAATACGATCACTGTTAAAGCAATAATAGTAGCCAAATGCCAAGGGAAAAGTGTTACAAAGACATCTTCTGAGACAACTCTTTCATCTCCATGTCCTGAGCTAAGGGTACACTCAGGGATAGGGGACTAGCAATGAGTCTGCTAATGGCAAGTCTGGGAATGAGAATGAGGCAAAAGTGATAGGTGTAGCCAGAGATTTGTTGTTGTTGTTAAGTGCCTTCGAGTCGGTTCCGACCCATAGCGACCCTGTACAGGGTTTCCGAGGGTGTAGCCAGAGAAGGATGTAGTTATTCAGGCAAGCCAGTCATAAGGATTGTTCTTTTTTCTTTTTTATTATTTATTCGTAATGAACCATCATCTTAACCTTGTGCTCAAATTAATTGCTGATTTCTCTAACACTGAGTCTTCCGTCCATCTTCCTCACTACTTTAAATTCAACAACCTGTTAGTTAAGAAACACATGCACACATTTTTGAATTCTAAGAATTCAGATCTACCAAATAAGATACTGCTCCCCTATCCTATATTTACTCCTCAAAAGTGTGACTACCCAGGCTGTACCCTCAGCACCACTCCAAGATAGGTGGTTCCATCAGGAGGTACTGCTCTAGTTTACTAACAGAGGGAAAACTAGAGAGTTAGGGGGAAGGGAGAGGAGAATCCGGAACTAAGCTGATTTCAGCTTGCTTTTCACCTCTGCAGTAAGAGGCAACCATAAAGGAACATACAAGGGGGCTTCAAAAAATTCTTAGAAAAATTCCATACTCTTTCAATCCATTTTCTGACAACTTTGAAGTCCTCTCATAAATGATAGTAAAAAATACTTTCATACAATTTAAGACCTAAAAAGTAGTAAAAATGAGAGTATGTATGTTATCATGTTCTGAATATTAAATTTCTTTGCTCTTTATCTTCAACACTTGTACGAGGAGGCTTCCAAAAGTTTGTAGCAAAACGGAATTTTAAAATCATGGAATTTTCCCATAAACCTTTTGAAGCTACTCATATTGAACAGTAAGTACAATAGCACTGAGGTAGGTATGAGAACCAGAAACTGACGCCAGGGTACTTTTCTGTGCTGGCTTTTAAAAATAATGAAGAGCATACAAGATGAATTGTGAAAAGGAAACCATCTAAACACTAATTTCAATCTACTGGATTGAAATCTATACTAAAAACCACTGCCAGTGAGTCAAGTGTGATTCACGGTGACCTATAAGACTGAGGAGAACTAACTGCCTCCTGCACTCGCCAAGGCTTTGATCTTTACAGAAACAAACTACCACATCCTTCTCCCTCGGAGAGTGTAATGGGTTCAAACCAGTGGCCTGCAGTTAGCAGCTGAAACCTTAACCTACTGCACAACATGGGCAGCTCCTTTTTAAATCACCCACACATGACAGTTTTTTTTTTCCTCCTTTGCACTATTCTATTGTATGTGTGAAGCATACAGCAGAAACATGTTACTGTGTGTGCTCCTGTAAAGATTTACAACCTTGGAAACCCAATGGGGCAGCTCTACTCTGTCCTATAGGGTTGCTGTGAGTCAGAATCCACACAAGGGCAGTGGGTTGTTCTTCTTTTTTGTATGACAGTTAAAGGAAAGGTGGCATGTTCATTTCTAAAACATAAGGAATACATTTAAGTTTAAAATGGGACTGCATAAAGTTTCCAGTGCCTGACAGTTAATCCTTCATAGTAAACCTGACTTCCAATCTGTTCTAACTGGAAACCTGAAACAATTTTACCAGAGCAGACCACTTAGCATGCTGGAGAACTGGCGACACGTCAGTTCTTACTACTCCTTACTACTAAGAAGACCAGCCCAACCTGGCAGTAAGGTGCAGAGAGCTCCAGCCAGCAGTCAGATACCCTGGAGACACAAGAGTGGGAAGGTTTGTGGGAAACGTAAATATTGCTTATAACAGGCAATGAAGCCACACAGCAGGACACTAGAGCAGAAAAGGAATAGCAAAGACAACATTAAACATTATGACAGCCTCAATCGCAAAAGAGTAACGAGTATTTGTTATTATAGGCTAATGACATACAGAAGAAATCTACACAGCCATAAGGAATTCACATATCCACAAAAGCTCTGCAATGTCTATGCAAACTCGTAGAGAAATAGAATCCTACAGTACAGCAAATTACAACCATCAAAAAGCAGACATGGCATCCAGGAAAATGCCATGAGGACTTTACACTCACCTATAAAGATACATGAAGAAGCAGAGCAAGTGGAAACCAAGCTTGATCATGGCTTCTTTCATGTGTGATTTCAGCTGCCCTCGATTGTGTATTTCTGTTGGATCAAACACTCCCATGTTACCACTTGGCACCATAATGAACCTACGAAATTAAAAGACACAAGAACATTAGAATGAAAATCTAATATATTCAAAAATAAATAAGTAGTGATAACCTTTAGTGGAGTCCTGGTGCGGCACTGTGGGTTAATGCAACACATTGCAAAGCTGTTTGAACTGCAAGGTCAACAGTTCAAGCTCACCAGTCGCTCCTCGGAAACCCTATACAGAGTCACTATGGGTCAGAACAGACTCAATGGCACTTAATAACAACAACAACAACCTTTAGAAGACTAATCATAGACATCTTAAATGTATTCCAACTATGGCCAGAGTAATCATGGACCACCACTTAGTTTTCCTTTTGAATACTGTAAAGTGTTAGCATAATTCTGCTCTCTCAAACAAATACAATAACGCACTAAAGAAGGATAATTTATGCCCATCTTCTGTAGAAACTACTTAACAGATCCTAACAGCCCCTTTCCACTAGAAAGGATAAAGGAAACTGCAAAATGAAACCAACGGTATGATGCTCCTAGAAACTTTCTAAAAAGTTTTTAAACTTTTTAGTTAAAAAAGTTTTTCAGTCTTTTTCTAAAAAGTTATAAACTAATTAATCTGATTTCTCACTTTTACAACATCCTTATAAGGAAAATAGCATCACACATAATTATTCCCATTTCACAGACAACCATTAAAAAAAATAAGAGGGTCTACATTCAGAATTGTTATCGTTAAGTACTGTAACTCGGTTCTGACTCACAGCAACTGTACAGTTTCTGAGGAGCAGGTTGGTGAGTTTGAACCATTGACCTTGAGGTTTAGACCAACCTTGCAGTTCAGCACTTATCCTATAGCACCACACCAGGACTCATGTTCAGAATGTTGTTGTTGTTTTCAAGACAGTTCTGAATTATATCAACCCTGTATAGGGTTTCTGAGGAGCAGCTGGTGGATCTGAACTGCCACCCATGATTTGCAGTCCAGGTGATCCTATAGTGCCACACCAGGAGTCCATGTTCAGAATAGAACCATCATATTTGATGCTCTGACAGAACAACATGATAGCATGTCTTCATCTGTGTGGTGCTGTGGGTTAATGCATTGGATTGCCATGTAGGTTTGAACCACAAGGATAGCAGTTCAAGCTCACCAGCTGCTCCTCAGAAACCCTATACAGGATCACTATTGAGTCGGAACAGACTCAACAGCACTTAACAACAACAAATCTTAAAATAGCAATTAAAAAAAACAAAAGAATAAACATTATTTAGAATAGATGCTACAGTGGTATATAAAAAAACAACTCCACCTCAAGTAAGACACTTGAAGAATCAATTATAACTTTATATAACTTTGGAAAACACACATTAAATGTAAAATTTTATAAAGTAATTGCTGATGAGTTGATTCCACCTCAGTAGTCCTATACAAGGTTTCCAAGGAGCAGCTGGTGGTGTTGAACTGCCAAACTTGTAGTCTGTAGTCCAGTGCCTGATCCTAGAGTGCCACACTAGAAAACTGACTTTTTATAGACTGAAAGCTCAGCTGAAACCTGTCCACCATGGGACTACCCTTCTGGTATTTAAACTACAAGTAGCATAACTTCCAGCATCACAGCGACACATAAGTCACCACAGTACAACAAATTTGAATTGCATTCTGGGTGGTGGTATCATGTATTTTAATTTCAGGTTGCTCTTTGCCCAACCCAAAGAACACCCTTTAATATATTTTTTTAAAGCTGGTCTAATTACAAATTCCTTGAATTTTTGCATATCTGGAAATGTCCTAATTTTACCACTGTATTTGAAGAACAGCTTTGCTGGGTATATGATTCTTGCTTGGCAATTTTTTTCTTTCAGAGTTTTGTGTGTCATCCCATTGCCTTCTGGCCTGCCTGGTTTCTCCCCAAGTAATCAGACCTGGTCTTACTGGTTCTTCTTAATAGGTCACTTTTTGTTTTTCCTGAGGATTTTCTCTGAGGAGTCTTTCCTTGTCTTTAGTTTGCCAAAGTTTTTCTCTGAGGATTCTTTCCTTGTCTTTGGTTTGTCAAAGTTTGATTATTATGTCTTGGTGATTTTCTTTTGGGATCCTGTTCAGGGTTTGTTCAGCTTCATGATGTTAGGGAAATTTTCTTCCAGCAATTCTTCAACAATTTTCTCTGTCCTGTCACCCTTAAATTATTCCTCTTCATGGTGTTGCACAGAACACAGGATTTTTGTTTGTTTCACTCTTTTTCCTGACTGCCCTTCTAGAATACTTGTATTCAGAGTTTATCTTCAAGCTTCCACTGCTTTGAATCTACTCTTGTGCCCTTTCAATGAACTATTTCTGAAATTTTATTTATTATTAATCTTCTGGATTTCTAATTGCAGGTTCTGTATTGCTTCAAATTTTTCTTTTGTCTGTTTGTTTTTATAGTGTTTTCTTGAATTCTTAAGTTCTTCTGTGTTCTCCTTGCTTTCCTCAATCTTTGTCAATCCTTTAAAGGTACCTAAATATCATTCTTTTGAATTCTTTTTCAGTTAGTTCCATGACCTTTTCTTCCTCAGAACTGTTTTCTAGCTCTGTATCTTAGTCATTTATATGAGCCATTCTCTCGTTTCTTAGTGTGTGCCAAAGTTGTCTGTTGTCTCTGGGACACTGTAGTGCTATCATATTTGTATTTAATTGATGATTAAATGTTGAAATGTTCTTAGGTTCTCACAAACTGTCTCTTATGGGTGTAGTTAGAGAACAGAAATGTGTACACAGTTGTCCATTCACCATTCAAGCATCTCAGTTTAGGGTGGGTTTAGCTGGTGTTGATCAGGAGGTATAAGAACTGGCCTTAGTTCCTGACCCATGGATGGAGCTACAGAGAGTATTGATGTAGCTGGGCTACACGGGCATAGTTGCTGTCTCTTGTCAGGTGGGAAAGAAGAGAAAACCCCTCCCCCATACACACAACAAAACAAAATAAACAAGGAACCAACTACGAAAAGAGAAAATAACGAAGAGCAAAAAGAAATAAAAATAAGCAGCAACCAGAAAAACAGAATAAATAAAAAGAGAAAAGGAGGACAAGAAAATGGAGCTATGGAAGAGGAAAAATGAGGAAATAAAAGGAAGAAAAAACTTAGAAAAACCAGAGAGAGGAAAAGATGAAAAAAGAGAATAAAGAACAGTAAAGAAATAACAAAAGGAAAGAAAAAGAAAAGGGGAAAGGAGAAACAGAAGGAAAAACAAAATCAGAGATGGAAAGGGTAAAATTCAAGGCAATGGAAAGAAAAAATAAATAAAACAAAACAATGAAAAGGGAAAAAAACAACAGTGCAGCTATTGGACCCAGAGAGATGGGTGCAGGAGAGATGTGTCAGCAAAATTCCTGGTCCTATATTGAGTTCCTACAGGCCCAGATATTATCTGTGTTTAGGGCATTCAATCCAGAAGTAATGTGTGGAAGTTCTTCATGGAGTTGGTTTCAGTATTAGGATTACGGGGCAATGAGGACAGGTAGTGGGTATGAAGATTTCTCTAGACTAATGTTGTTCTAGTGGAGCAGTGAGTTCTGCAGATCTGGAATACAGCCTACCTGAATATAGGCACCAAAGTGGCACCTCACACTAGCATGGTCACAAACACTTGGCTCTGATGTCCTTGAGAGCAGGAGTGGATGATGGATGGGACTGGCCACACCACTGGTCACTGAGGAAGCATGAGGAAAAAGAAGGAATCTCACCTTTCTCATCACCTGTGTGCATCTGCTCAGTCAGGCCAATGAGCCAAAGCTGCTCACTGAAGTTCAAGATGGTCATGTTGTCTCTGGTTGGCTGTTTACCAGTCAGTTTCCCTCTTTCACCATGCCTGATCAGCTTCTCCTCTCAGCAAGTACTCAATCCACTTCTCTAATCTTTCCCCTAAAGCTCAGGGTTCCAGGATTTTCATCTCTCTTTTCATTTGGTCTTTTGTATCTTTGTTGTAGAGGGTCCTACGTGTAGCGCATTTGCCTAGTCCATGAACCACCTTGCTGGAAATCTCCTTAAACTTTTTAAATGACAATCTTTTTATATTTTTAAACATTTTTATTGTGAATTAAATGAAGTGTTTACAGAACAGATCATCAGTTTTACATTTAATAAACCATATACTTTGCATCATTCCCTGGCTGCTGTCCCATCTGTGTACCAGTAGTTAACAGCACTTACCTCTCTTCACTTTAACATTGCATTCCTGTGTCTCATGCCTCTGCCATCTTCCCTCTTGTATATTGCCTGCCCTGTCACCCATGTTAACATGTGTCTACTCTCTAGCCCATGAATAATTTTCCCTCCCCATGCCTCATAACCATCATAGATTGTTTCTTTCACCAAGAAAACTTTTTTTTTTAAACTTTTTACAACATTGGGCTCAAACAATGTTTGATTACTTTCACTCAGCATAATGCCCTCCAGGTTCAACCATGTAATGCAAAGTTTCAGATTCCTCAGTATTCTTCAACATTTTGCAGTATTCTATTATATGTACGTACCAATGATTAAACATAACCATTTTCTGCTGCTGAACTTTTAGGCTGTCTCCATCTTTTTGCTATGTCTCTTATAGACAGCTTATTGAAGGATCCTGTTTTCTTATCCATTCTGCTCTTTAAGTCTCTTTGCG